GCAGCAGCAGCAACAACAACAACAGAGACCACCACCACCGCCACCACCACCACCACCACCACCACCACCACCACCACCACCACCACCACCACTTCCACCACCACCACCAGCAGCAGCAGCAGCAGCAGCAGCAGCCACAGCAGCAGCAAGGAACACGGGAACACAGGAACACAGCAACAGCAACAGCCGCAGTAGCAACAACAACAACAACAACAACAACAACAACAACAGCAACAGCAACAACAACAACAACAACACCTGCTGCAGCAGCTGCAATATGGAACGTTGGAGTTAGAACTACACCGCAAACAACTAGAATTTGACACCACGGCCGGCGTTTGCTTGGATTGAGGCTTTCGCCGGAGAAAAGGGCCAGCGAGGCCACCTTTGTTGCAGTTGATGGCCGTCCTCGCATTTGGGGGTTTCCGAAAATAGTGGACCCTAATATAATACCCCAAATAGTAAAATCCTCATTATAAGGACCGCAGAATAAGGTACCCCCTATTTTCGAAAACCCCCATTTGGGTGCTGGGGCCGTGGAAGTAGGCGTGTGTAACTTGCAGATCGCTTGTGATTGAACCGGTTCTTGCCCAGCATGGAAGACTCTGGCTGTCATTCGCAGTTTAGGGGTTTAGGTTTTAGGGTTTTAGGGTTTTAGGGGTTTAGGTTTGGGGTTTAGGGTTTAGGGGTTGGGTCTAGGGTTCTAGGGTTCAGGGGTTCAGGTTAAGGGTTTAGAGTTTCAGGGGCTTGAGAACCGGGAAGCTGGGATGATCCCTCGAAACTTCCTTTTGGGCGTTCAGATCTCGATGTCCGCAGGCCCCACAGCCGTTCGTGCAGCCGGAGGCGCTCGTGGTTCCGATTAATCTGGCAGCTCGGACAAAACAGTACCGTAGTGATCCATTACAAACTTGTACCCGATCCTGAAAGCTGCGAAGTGCCGGTGTCATGAGGAAGTCAATCCGCATTGGCAGAACCAGCCGTGTGCTCAGCTATACGATGCAACAGAGATCATCCTCAGCCGGTTTTGGGCCACGGACATCAGAGCGAGTTCAAGCCTAAACCTGAAGCCAGTCTTGCGAAGGCTTCTGGGCACGCCCGTGGTGCAAACGGCACCCATGTACTATCCGGCCGGCGCCAGCGTCTTTCCGACGGACCCAAACGTCAACCCGCTGTACTGGCTGCAGCGGAGTCCTCAGCTTGCAGCCTTGTTGCCTAAAGCCCTGAACCCCCCAACAGCGTCGAAGTCGTGAGGCTCCAGATGGTCCCAGTGCCCGAAAACGCACCAGCGCCAGCTCCGCCGGCTCCGGCAGAAGCGGCGAGCTCCACAGATCCAGCGCCCGCTCCCGCGCCCTCGCCTCGGGGCGACAGAGCCAGGGGACGGGGTGGCGTTTCAGCGCGAAGGTTTCATTTTTCTGCTATGTCAGCATGCCATGCTGCGAGGCCAACAAGGCCAGCAAGGAGGGGCACCCGCTTGGTCAACAAGGCCATTGGCAAAAAGCCAGCGGCTGACTTGTGACCGCTCAAAGACGAAAGGCTCACTGCGATGTTCGGGTTTGGGGTTTAGGGTTTGGGGTTCAGGGTTTGTGGGGGGTTGAGACGCTCGCATTTTGCGCCTCAGCGTTTCTGTCCGTAGGGTGTGGGCCATGAGCATGCAGCAGGTTCAGCCAACCAACGAAAGACCACTCAGTCCGAAAGGGAAAGGGGCACAAAGATCGGACACAGAACAAGAGTTCAAGCCGGTCCAAGAGCGACGGTAAACAACCTAGCCAGACCAGCACTAGCACCAATGTGCACGCTAGCTTCGGGGCTTTGCACCCGATCTCCAAGAAGGAATAACACCCGAAGCCTTAAAACCCTAAACCCCAACTTTCGCCTCCCGTCTCCGTGATCCGGCTATGGCACTGGCAAGCCTTCGCCCATGGTGACGCGTTGCTTCAGGTGCTAGGGTGGGTTTAGGGTTTAGGGTTCAGGGGTGATGATTTTCAGCATTACCATAAACCTGGCCTCAAATCTTAACTCCAGAAACCCAGCACCATTTGGAGGGCCATGCCAAGGGTGTACTAGCCTCTTGGTGTCGGTACCTCCCTCTTCGTCTGCCACTCCCTTGACCGGTATTGCGAGGTCAACCCGCTGTAGCCCTGAAGTTCTTGAAGCTTCCATTTAGGAACCCCAAAAGGACATAAGCATAAGCATTTTATCGGGATTTCCCTACCTTATTGGGCTTCATTTTAAGGGGGTTTATATGGGATATCCCTATCCTAATTTTTGCTTATGTGCTTTTTTGGGGCCCTATCCATCGCACCGAAGACCCCAAACTCGTAATCCTGGACTCCAAGCCGACAGCCTCGCGTCACACCGGCAAACTGCAACCGGAACGGAACGCCCCCAAACCCCAGATGCTGAGCCTTGAACCGTTAAACCCTGAAGCCTAGACCCTTACACCCTAAACCCCAAGCACCCAAGCCCTAGACCCTGAACCCTAAATCCTGAAACCCCGCAAATTCCAAACCCGCGTTGCAGGCGCACATGGGTAGCGAAGTACTGCAGGACAGGCTCGGTGTCTCGGCGCTAGACCAACGCATCCGCACCCAGGATTTTTGGGGTTTGGGGTTTACCTGTAGTCTCGATTGTAGTTGCCGTCGGGGGTTGCCGTAAAGGATCCGAAATATGAAATAGGTTAGGCAAAAAAACCCTAAACCCTAAACCTAAGGACTTACAAGGGAGACTGCAGGTGCGGTGTAAGGTTTAGGTGTAGCGTTGAAGGATCTAGGGCCCAGCAGGGGGCAGTTTAGAGTTTTGGCTTGTGGGGTTTAGGGTTTTGGGGTTTGGGGTTTAGGGTTTTGGGGTTTAGGGTTTTGGGGGTTTAGGGTTTAGGGTTTCGGGGTTCAGGGTTTTGGGGTTTAGGGTTTAGTTTTTGGGGTTTAGGGTTGTTTAGGGCAGATGAGGGTTGAGGGTATCAGTCTTTGCCATTGCGGTGTCGCTGGTGATCGTGAGTATTTGGGGCCTAGGGTTCCCCCCGACACTGAAACCCTAAACCCTAAACCCCCAAACCGAACCCTAAACCCCATCTCAAGAGCCTCCGCTATTTCTTGGCCTTTCTTCCTAGATATCGCAAGGAAATATTCCAAGAAGCACACCAGCAAAGATGCTGTAGCGACCTTCAAAGCACTATAAAGAAGTGTTTTCTTGAAGACCTACCTACACCCTACACCCCAAACATCCCTAAGCCCTAAACTGCAAACCCCAAACCCTAAACCCCTTGAGCCCTAGATGAGTCCGAGGCTTCGTAGATGCCCTGAAGCATGACATCTCGAGCTACCTGGCCACCGGGGAGGAGAACCGCTCGGAGAGTTGTAGTATCTGGAGTTTAGGGTTGAGGGTTGCCAGTGTTTAGGGTTGCTAGCGCTTAGGGTTTAGTGTTTGGGGTTTAGGGGTTGAGCGTTTAGGGTTCGCGGTTTGGGGTGCATCAACGCCTTCTGGTCCATTCAGTGGTTGCCTTGAGCCCAAAGCACTGGACACTAAACTCCAAAACCCTGAACTCCAATTCTTGATCCCCAGGCTATGAACAGCAATAAAGGTTTGAGGCTGGAGATCGCCCATACACCCTGGCCCGTCCTGAACCCTAACTTCTAAAGCCTAAACCCTCCCAAACCCCAAAGCCCCAAAAATACACCGAACTCTCAAAAGAAACGCTCACGCCTGAATTCCAAAGCCTCAACCACCCTAAACCCTGAATTCTAAACCCTAAAACCCTCAACCCTGAACCCCTGAACCCCAAAGCCTTGTCTCGCAAAGAAAAAACAGGAGCCTTCCGGTGGATTTCCAGCCTCAGACCGCCTGAACTTGGGGGACTACTTGGCTGGCCGCATTCTCTGCCACCCGGCCTGGTGGTTTAGGAAGCATTGCGCTTCGGAGCTCTATTTTGGGGGGTTTACCGGGATTTAGCGCTTCTATGTTGGCAGTTTGGGGTTTTGGGGGGTCTATTTCCGGGGTTTAGGTGTTCTATTTTGGGGGCGTAGAGTTCTACTTGGGTTCCAGGGTTTTAGTTTAGATTGCCGAATGCTCAGCCTTTGTTTCGTTTTTGGCTTTGGTGTTGAGCGTTTAGAGCCAGTTCAGGGAGGGTTATAGATGGGCCGATAATATAGGGGCCTTCATAATCGGAACAGGGTTTTGGGCTCCTTGATAGTCTAATTATGATAAAGAGCCCTGAGGAATAATATGGGTAATCATGTAGGCTTCTATGTCAACCATCACGTTTACGGGATATGGGGTTTCCGAGAATAGGGGACTTAATACAGTACCCCAAATAGAAGGATCGTTTTACTATAAGGGCCCCCAAAATAAGGTTTCTTGAATTTTCGGAAACTCCCAAATTGTGTTTCCCTACACCCTAAACCCTAAACCCTTTAATTTTCGGAAGCTCCCATATTGTGTTTTGGGGATTAAGGGGTTCTCTTGCAGCGACGATTCGGAGGTCTGGGAGAGCCGCATCTCTGCGCCTTGGGCCGGGTTCAAGTGGGAGTGGTTTGGGTTAAATCCTAAACCCCTAAATCCTAAACCCCTAAATCCTACACCCCTAAATCCTACACCCCTAAATCCTACACCCCTAAATCCTAAACCCTGAACCCTAAAGCATTGGGGGGTTTAGGGGCGTAGGCCTTTTGAGTTTCGGGGTTTATACTCCTCAGCGTCGGGTTTAGAGCTTTACGATTTGGGTTGTAGGGTTGGGAGATGAGACACTAAGCCCTCAGCGGTTTGGCTTGAGCCCCTGACACCGGAGCTTCCAACTTGAAACCCTCATCTCCCGGACCTAAACAGTTACCCCTAAAACCCCAAACCTAAACAACGTTGGACCCTAAACCCCAACGGTTTAGTGTTTGGGTATTGAGCCCTAAGCCCTCAAACCTAAACCCTATAGCTTGAGCTCTCAGACCTCAGCCCTAAACCGTGAACCCTCAAACCTAAACCCAAGAGCCCTCAACCCCGAAGCCGCGATCCCGCCTGCAAGGCTACGCCAAGCCCGAGGAGGAAATCTTCGAGGGAGACGAGGTCGGGTGATACAAGTATCTTCGGTTTAGGGTTTAGTTTTTTTTTTCCCGTTTAGGGTTTGTAGGGTTTTTGGTTTAGTTTGTTTTCGGTTTTTCGGTTTAGGGTTTGGCGTCTTTCGGTTTAGTTTTTCTTTGGTTTTTGGTTTGGGGTTAAGGGGTTTTCGGTTTAGGGTGTTTAGGCTTTTCGGTTCCGGGTTTAGGGTTTTTCAGTTTAGGGTTTAGCTTCTTTCGGTTTAGTTGTTTTTGTTTTTTGGTGCATGGTTTAGGGTTTTTCGGTTTAGGGTTTTGGGTTTCTTAGGCTTAAGGTTGTTCGGTGTTTCGGTTTAGGTTTTAAAGTTGTTCGGTTGATAGTTTTTCAGTTTAGGGTATAAGGCTTTTAGGTTTAGAGTTTTTCGGTTTGAGGTATAGGCATTTTCGGTTCAGGGTTTTTTGGTTGTTCGGTTTGTTGTTTTATCGGTTCAGGGTTTAGGGTTTTTAGGTTTAGGGTTTTTCGTTTTTTTGGTTTAGGGTTTAGGGTTTTTTCGGTTTAGGGTTTTTGTTCGGATTTGCGGTTTTTAGGTTTAGGGTTTAGGCTTCCGGTTGAAGGTTTAGGGTTTAGGGCGCCTTTTCGGTTTTTTTTTATGTATATAACATGTTCTCTTTTTGGGCTCCAGAGGATCTTTTTTTTACGAGCAGTTTTGTGAAGGGGCCAACTTGGAGGTTGCTTGCCCATACCCCTCGCTTGTTACGGGCTCAGGGTTGGCTTCTATGTGGGTAGCTCTCCAAATTAGGGTCCCCTGCCGGGATCCTTTTTGTAACTATCAGCGTGGCGTGCTATATTGGGGACCTAAAAAGGGACCTTGCTGTAGAGAACTACCCATATTCAAATCCGTAGATGCTGAACCCAAACCCGAAGGGTTTCCAGCTGGACTGTTTTCGGTTCCCAGACTTGTTCGTGAAGGATCATTCTTCAAAGCAGGTCAGCCCACAGAAGCCTCACACCATAAACCCTAAACCCTAAACCCGTACACCCTGAACCCTAAACCCTGCATCTTTACACCCTAAAACCCAAAAGCTTCAACCGTTGAAGCTCCAGAGCTCCGATTCTTCGAAGGGCTCTGGTATTAAATAGTAGGTCCATAAAGCCCTACGGCCGATAGGACTTCTATAAAGCCTTGCGGCCTAAATCCGCAAACCCTTAAGCGTTAAGCCCTAGACCCTACGTCCTAAACCTCAACCCTAAACTCCCTGAACCCTGAAGCCTAATTACGTCCTAAACCCTAAACCCAAAACCCTACGTCCTACGTCCCAAGCCCTGCCTCTTCTACCGCCAGCCCTGCACGAAACCTCAAGTCCTCAGCTCTTATCAGAACATTAAGGGCTTTAAGGGCTTTAGGGGTTTAGGGGCTTAGGGTACATTAGGGTTTAGGGTCTATGAGGGTCTGGGGGTTTAAGGGTTCAGGGGTAAGGGGTA